GGGAGATCATCCTGGATTATCCAGGTGGATTCAATCTAATTACATGAGTCCTTAAAATTGAAGAACCTTTCATGGCTGGGGTCAGAAAAGAGGTATATTAATGGAAGCAGGATCAGAGAGATGCCACATTGCTGGCTTTGAGGATGCAGGGAGGGGTCCTTGATTTTGTCCCAGTGAGACCTGTGTCAGACAGCAGACTTAGAGGAAGATAGCCCTGCTGAGTAACTCAGTTGGTCAGAACATCATCTGGAAACCCCAAGGTTGAGAGTTTGATCCCAGGTCAGGGCATACACAAGGAGCAGCCACTGAATGCATAATTAAGTAGAACAACAAACTGATGTCTCCATGTCTGTCTGTCTCTCTCTCCCCACCCACCCTGCCCGCCTCTTGCTCTAAAAGCAATTAAAAAAAAATAGAGAACTGGAAGATAATAAATGTGTGTCATTTTAAGGCTACTAAGTGTGTAGTAATTTATTACAGCAGCAATAATAAGATAATACAGTATCTGTCAGGTAAAAATGCAAGACTGTCATGTTAAACACCTTCAAAGGCCTGAGAAGAGTAAAGCCTGCAAACATACAAATTGCATTAACCTCTGATCTTATATCCTGAGCGTAAACTGATTAAATGCAGAATTCTGTGTATATGTTTTAAAATAAAACATAAAATCAGTAAAATCAATAAAATTCACAGACAACTGGTTGTGTATGGTGCTCTCCAGAACCCTCTACACTCTGTGCTCACAGCCCATAAAAATTATTTTGACTATTAATTAAACCAAAGAATTTTGACCAGAGACCCATGGCAAACTGTCAGAAACAGTCTACAAATACATGTTTAGACTTAGAAAGATCATGACTCTTTCAATATAGTTGGAACTCTGATTTTACATTCAGTATTCAAAATTTACATTCAATGAAATATAAACATACATGTAAATCACTACAGACACTGCTGAAGTGGTGCCACATCTGGATATTCTTGCATTAAAAAAAAGCTTTTAATTCTACTTTTTTTTGTGACACTCTAAATCATTTCTAACGGTGTCTTCACATGAACTTGAACAATGATCCCGAGTCATCAACATGAGCAAGTTTCTAGCAGAAGTCCTTAACAAGCCAAGACATGTGAATGCAAATCACTGTCGTTGTTCCTGATGTTGACACTACTCTTGTCTGAAGCAAAGGCAAATAAAAGACATTTCACTGAAGATCTAATTTCCCTGGTGTGCCAAAGCTGATTTTTTAAAGCCACTTAGTGGATAAAACTGTATCCTTATTTTTAGGCTAATCAAAATATAAAACTTCAGATTTCATAAAAAATTTTTTTGTTTCACCCAAGGTTCCACTAAAATTTCAAATACTGGGCTCTTTTGATGTAATTAAAATATTTCAACTTATGGACAACTTTAAAGAGCACATCTATCAAAGTATATTCTACTCGAACAGTGATGTGATTTGTTTGCCTGTTATGTCCCAGTGCTCTCCAGAGATGAGAGCATTCCTACTGTTCAAGAGACTGCCTTAAGCCTTCTGAACTAAGTAGGCAATGCTTTAAGCAGGAGGAAGACTGCACAGGCTAGTTCAGGGACTGCCACCGTAATATCTGCAATGGAAAAGCCTGCTGATATTTCTGTTGACATCTCATACTTAAGGTGCTTAGGGAAAGATCACATCATTTGGCAAAAACATCCTGTGGCTGAATCAGCAGATTTCATGGAAAGTCCCTATGTATGCTATTTGTATAAAGTCTGGGTTCTGGAGAGACATGTTTATTTGACATAAAAACAAGAAACAACAATTTAACATACAACTAAGTTTGCTTATATGTGGAGGTAACCTTAAATATCTTTGGTTTTCTCAATTTGCTGATAAAAAGTACTTGACTAAAAACACTGATAAATACCAATATAATTGTATTGCTTTTAATTATGTAAACTTAGCCCTTTGATATATTTTGCTACTAAAGCTAACCCTATCAGCCTCTAAATAAATTTATTTCAAATCTGCTCATCTTCACTTACTTACAGGCTAATCTATACATTTTAATGGTCTTTGGTATGAAAATACTGATGAGCAGTATCTTGTAATATTTGGCATAAAAATGACATGCATGTATCAGTACTTACAGCAAGTAAGTCTTTGGAAAAGAAAACAGTTACCATTTGCATATTAGCCCCTTTGGAGTGAAATACCATGAAGTAACACCACTATGAGAGAGAAGTGAGAACCTTCACATTTTAGTTACAATTTTATATTTAAGGCTTCAGAGAAGCTAGCTTTGGCCAAGTGAAAAGAAGTCTTTGCAGTACACTAAATACCTTATTCAATGAGACCAAAATATTTATCTTTGGTGAAAAGACTTTTTTTCTCTCCAACAAGTAGTTTCAACAATTTAAAAATACTTTAATACTGTTTAGTTGAAGATTTACTTGCTGAAGAAAAAAAATTACACTTGAAATTCTTTGGAACTTTCTACTGGTAAAGAACTTATTTTAAATGCTCTAGTAACAATAAGGTAGTTAAGATTACTAGTCTATTTAACTACAGCAATCAGTATAAATCCTATTATTTTGAGTCCTATTACTTTGAATTAGTAACTACTTGTGTAAGCTTCATTACCTATAGATGTTTCTAGTTAATTCAAGTGGGGGAAATTATAGTCAAATTTTCACTTTCTACTGAAAATTCTTTGGTAACATGATTATTATGAAAAAATCTGTATAGAAACAAAAGGTGAAAAAGAAAGAAATGCACTGGTAAATAATTAGCAAATAGATATAGCCTAAAGGTCTACAACAACTATGGGCCTATTTATCAAAAACCAAACAAACCAAACACTTTTCTCAAGGACTTCAGATCATCTCTCTAGGCTTTCCAAATGATTTAAATTCATATAGTCCTATACACATCTTCCATAACCATGATGGATGATGTTTCAGCTGTAGGTATTTTTTGCCTTTTAATGAAAGTTTAAGAAATAAAATGAACTTTTGTACTCCTTAATTTTAGATACTGAGAAAAGTAGGCCCCACATACTTCTACTTACGAACCAAAAAGCGCCATACCCTGTCAATTTGCCCATGCTTCCATGAGGCAGCTTAAAAGTAATAACATGTTCCCTGAGTACAGGAAAAAAAATAACACTAGAATAACTTTAAAAGGAGGTAGTATAAAACAGGAGCTATAAAGGCAGAAGCAGCATTTTTCCTTGCCTCAGATTGTTCACCTAAAGCTCTGCTTTTTTAAATTTTTTTGTCATGAGGCCCATACTTAGATAGCTAAATGGGGACTTTGAATTTAGTTCAGATGTGGCTGCTGGCACTTAATGTTGGTCTGCTTCTGAACACATCCAGTTTGGCACAAGACTACAGATTAAAAAAACAATTAAAAATATATCATCAGGCATTGGGATAGAAGATGCTAGAGGTAGGACTATTATCCAATAATATTCCTTTGATTTTAAGAACACCATTTAACATAATCCCCCCTCTATAAACCAAAGGTTTCAAGGATAAACCGTAAGATTCCTTCTAAAGTCAGGCTCAGAAGTCATTTCCAGATAATTTGAAAAAATACATTTTAAAGGATATGGCCCCCCCCACTCCACACCATGTATTGTGATTCTGTATCCTCTCCCACTGCTGGGCACCTAGTAGGTAACTGTCTCATGACCCAGAGAAGGCCTGTTCTATGTGGCTGAGTAAACAGTTTGCTGATTTCAAACCAGCAAGAGGATTAACTCACTCCTGGAGTTAGCATTCCTCATTCACAGCATTGACACTGAAGGAAGATTAAATAAAAGTACCAAATTCTCTTAAGAAGTCACGAAAATGCGTGCAAAGTGGTAGGACTCTGAATACTAATCCCTAAACAAAACCTGCAGGATAACGAACCAAAACACTTTGATAAGATATTGTACATCAAAATAGTTACTGATAAAATCCAAGACAGTCTTAAGGCAACTTTCTGTACTCTTGTCCTGAACGACTTCATGAATATTAAAAAGATATAAGGCAAAGAATTTCATAATATATAGTGGAAGGCACTGTTACCATGCTAACCTCAGGTTCATTTTACTGTCTACCGTTGCACTTATTTCACTGTTAGTATTTCATGAAATTCCTTTACCCTTTTAAGACAAGGAGGGATTTTTTTAAAAACAAAAACCCTAACCCATTCTTTTCAAAAATCTGTTTTCTGCATGGAGTTTTGCTACTAACTCTGGAAATTGAGGATGCTTTGCAAACTAGACAGTGCAGCCTTTGGCCAGCTGTCAGGCAAAGAGGAAGACAGAAAAGGCACAGCTCTAGGCAGGCTAGGTTTGGGATACAGCAGACAAAGCATTCAGACTCTAATGCCCAAAACATAAAGGCTCTTGAAGCAATAGTATTCTCTGTATGCTACCAGATAGTTATTTTCTCAAGAGAAACTTTTTTTTGTCTTGGTCATTCACTAAAATCAACAGTCCCACTTTTCCGCTTCTTAGTGGTTTGACAGTCCTCACAGTGAGAGGTGTTAAATATACAAATCATGCAGAATCATATATTTTTTTAAAAATCAGAGCTTCAGATAAACACTCTTACTCATCTACCTATATGACTCCTTTGATCACACACATTACACATAGAGCAATGAAAACAAAACACTAGTAGGAAGTATCATCAGTTATGTAGCTGAGAACTATCACAACAAACGAGGTAACAAAGTTGTCTTCTAAGTTTGCCATTGGGCAAACTGAGGTAGATAGTTAGCAAAGGGGCTTTCAAAAGTCTTCCCTTTGCTCCAGTGATATATTTTTATAATCCAGTCAAATATCTTGACTGTCTTTTCACATTGCTGACAATGAAACATTCAAAATATGTGAATTTAAAAATAAAAGAAAACATTCAAAAAAGCTGAAATACCCAATAAGACATCAAGATTTTCACAAAAGGCTTTGGCTCCCTGTTCATTGTCCTTCGAACAGAATTAAAGGTAAGAATACCTGAACATGACTGTCTAGATTGGAAAATCATTTTTATCAAAGCTTAGCATTGCAGATGGCAGCTGCAGAATGGAAGAGGAAGTTTGCTCAGCATCTGACGCCACTGCAGGGTCTTGACACTTCCTCTTCAAGCCATCTCCACCTGAATCACTGCCAGGGAAGGAACTGGAGGTCAGGGGTGTGGTACTTATAACTGAAGACAGGTGTATCTCATCATTGGATTCATGGGAGAACCTTCCAGAATCTCCGGTCTCGTGGCTGCCTTCACTATTGGCTGAATGCTCAGTATCAGCTGCAACACCAAAGGGTCTTGGGAAGCTGGCTGTCTGACCTGGGGAGCTGGGGGAGTCTTCATCACTAATTAGCACAGTCGTGCCTGGCTGGTAAAAGCAGACCGATTGAGTAAATCTTCTTTGAGGCTAGGCAAAAATACATAAAACATGATGAGTGATGACAGAATGCCCCTGAAAAATAATCAATCTGGTTTTACATATTCTGATAGCAAACTGTCCAAGTACATGGGTGAAGAAAGGTCATCATGAAGGGACTTGCCTAGGTCAGCGGTTCCCCACTGAGGACTGGGAGCACATAAGAACTACAGGGGTAAGTGAGGTATCAAAGGCGTCTTCAGTGGTTTGGATATATGCTACTGCCCAATCCCTTTCTCCACTGCCTACCACTCCCCACTGAAAACCCCAGTTCTAATTATTATTCCAATTGTCACTGATTGAAATCAGTAATTTCTCCCCATGGCTTTCCATGGAGTCCTGCCCCAAATGAAGAAAATAACACCCAGAAAGAACATGAAAACTCAAGTATCCATTTACATTTTCCTCTCTTTTTAATTACCATCTCATACACCACGGGTTGCCAAAGATTTTTCTCATATAGGTGGGTTACCTGCTCAACTTTCATCTTCTTAGAATCTTGGAAAAAATGCCATTTTTTCTTGGAGTTGTTTTTAATCACAGGACCATAGCTATTAATTATCAGGTCAGTTCCTCCCTGGAGAAAAAAGAGGGGAAAATGTAAATATTATATATTTCAGTTTATCACAAGTAGTGCACAAAATGTTTAAATGTTAAGATAAAAGAAAATTATCACATTATTACCATTTCCTCTTTTACACAAGCAGCATACAACAAATTCAGGGTAGTTTTTAGTAATCAAAAAGATGTAATAAGTTTATCTGTAAGACAGATATATATCCTAAATAAAGTATTTGGGGTGAAGAATAATGATTCCAAAATTTGTTTGCAAATGATACAACAAACAAAAATATATAGACATGTAGAAATATGAAAGATATTGACAATTACTTGTGCATTCACATTACATTATTCTTTTAATCTTTCCATATGTTTGAAAAATTTAAGAACAGTTGAGAAAAAAACTGGGCCCACATATAGCAATAGATGGGGGATCAACTCCCAAGCTAACCCAAGAGAATGGAGGTATCTGTCCTTCAAACTGACTTTGTGGCTTCACTCCAGGCCTCCACTTGACTATCTCCCTTCACACTGGATTCTCTTGCTTTTTCTCCATGTCTGCCACCCTCCTCTGCTTCTCTGTAATCCTTTCTCTAGTTCCAAGTTAGTAGTAACAGAACTACAGTGTGTTTTAGTTCTTTTTATGCCTATTTGAAAGGTTTAGGTTCTAATGTTCCAGATTAATTTGAAATAAATTTAATGGCTTATATTTATCTAGCAATAAAAGGTAAATTAAGTTGTAAACAAAAAAGACAACAGCCCTGACTGGTGTAGCTCACTGAGTGAGGGGTCTGGTTTGATTCCCAGTCAGGGCACATGCCTGGGTTGCAGGCCAGGTCCCCAGTTGAGGGCATGTGAGAGGCAACTGACTGATGTTTCTCTCCCTCTCTGTCTCCCTCCCTTCCCCTCTTTCTAAAAAAAATTAAAATCTTAAACAAAAAAAAGACAACAGGAGTATCACAAATCAATTCATTATCATTTACCTGTTATATACATAATATATAGCAGGGGTGTCAAACTCATTCTCACTGTGGGCCACATTAGCCTCAAGGTTGCCCTCAAAGGGCCAAAATAATTTTAGGACTGTATAAATGTAACTACTCCTTAACTGTTAAGGAGCTGAAATTATGTTTGGCCCTTTGAAGGCAACAGCAAGGCTGATATAGCCCCTGGTGAAAATGAGTTTGACACCCCTGGTATATAGCATCGTGCTAGATACAGGTAGATTGCATCTGTTAAATATAATTGTATAAAATTCACTATTAGTCCTGGCTGGTGTGGCTCAGTGGATTGAGTGCTGGCTTGCTAACCAAAGGGTTGCTGGTTTGATTACTGGTCCCCAGTGGAGGGCGGGCACACAAGAGGCAACTATGCACTCATGTTTCTCTCCCTCTCTTCCTCCTCCCCTTCCCCATCTCTCTAAAAAATAAATAAGTTAAATATTTTTTAAAAATTCAACATAAACATCCCCTGATATTTTGATATATTTTTATTATTCTAAATTTTAAAGAAGGGTTGGGGAAAAATAACTTACAGCATAATTTGGCAAACTTTTTTCTGCAAAGGGTCACATAATAAATATTGTGGGCTTTGCAGGCTATATATGGCCTCTGTCCATTTTCTCCTTCATCTTTTTTTTTTTTCAAACTATCTTTTAAAAATGTCAAAAACATTTTTAGCTCAGGTGATAGCCATACAGAAACTTGTCATTGGCTGGTCTAGGCTTGGCGGTAGTTTACTGACAGCAAGTTGATAGCACATTGGTTATGAGAGCTATTATAATAATGTATACTATCTAATGTTGCAATGTGGCTAAAAATGATTTTCAGTTGGTGTTCATAATGCTTATCACTGTACTATTACAGGTAGTGGAAGGAACTTGAAGTAACATCCCCCAATGACATTCTTTTCTAACTATATCCAACTTTTTCTAGCAATAAAGGGAAGGATCTTGAGACATCTAGCAAGATCCTCACAGTTTTAAAAATGTCAGCCATACCTAGAATGTTCTGATGGTCAATTCAGTTAAAAAAAAATCAACCAAACTAAGTACACAATGAATGAGAAAAAAAATTTGTCCACCCAACAAATACAGAGCAATTCAATTTACCATAAATGCGTACTAATAACCCTGGTGTCCTCATTTAAGACAGCATAGCTCTATATAACCCCATCTAATTGAATTTATGCTACTCTTTTTTATATCTCTTTCATCTTTTTAAAATTAATTTTATTTAATTATTTTTAGAGAGATGGGAAGGGAGGGAAAAAGAAAGGGAGAGAAAGATACATTAACAAATTGACTCTTGCACACCCACAACTGGGGACCCGGTCTGCAACCCAGGCATGTGCCCTGACTGGGAATCAAACCAACAACCCTTTGGTTTATAGGCTGGTGCTGAATCCACTGAGTCACACCAGCCAGGGCTATCTTTTTCATATTTTATTCTTTTGTATGTCCCTATCTTTTCCCCAAATTATTTTATGTAAGGAAGGATTTGAGTAAAACTGTTTCACATTTCATTAAGTAGAATATGGATATAATACATTTGACATGTTTTTTTTCTAAGTAGATTTTACACATATATGCAAGATGAATGGAGGGAAGGATTATGCAGCAAATCAGTCTCGTGGCTTGGAGTACCTTTGCATCAATGAAGCTGTTGGGCATCATCATTGGCATTAAGGAGTCTTCACTTTCTACAGCCTCTTCCAGGTTCTTTCCTACTTCATGTCCACTGGCCACGGAGGCATTGGTACGAGATAATGGTTGGGTTCCATTCTGCACCGTCTTGGAAGAAGATGATTTCCTAAAATATTTAAAGAAAAGGAAATCTAGTTTCATTGTATATATAGGCAAATGTACCAAATTTGGCCTATAATCACAACTTTGCATACAATAAAGTTATTTAATATTTGCTTCTCACTTATGTTTAGAACTAAGTATTAGATTTTAACTCCATCTCACTGCTGAAAATGTGTATGATTTAAGGAAGCTTCTTTATTTTTTGTCCCGATATATGCTTACATATACTTTTTATAAACCCTTATTAAAACCTAATATTGACAAACTATTTTTATTATTGTTGATTATTTATACTTTATGCATAAATTATATATTTAAATTTACATGTTCTCCTTCAGGTCTGCAAATTGTCACCACTAATGTCACATTTCACTTGCCAATTAATGATGACAAATGTACAGTAGCACTTCTGCAAGATTTAGGCATCACTAAAAGACTGTGCATAAAGATTTTATAGAAGAGCTCTTAAAGTGAGAAACTTGACAGTAAAATTAAGCCAGTTCAATATACAAAAAGATGTTAGCACTAATTCTTCTTCATTAACATAATATCTTTTTTAGTCAAGTACCAAACAAATATATAAACTCTTAACAACCTAGGCAAATGGAGGAAGTCAAGTGACACACATTTCCTAAAAATATGTTTTTGACTTTGTTTTTCAATTTACAAAAGAACCTGAAGAAAATAAATTAAAACAAAAGCCAAAATATATAGATTAGAAATAGACAAGTTCACCGAATGCTGAGAATTTAGCTGAAGTCAAACTACAGATATGACTGCCTGATAGAGTTCATAGAGAATCAATCCCCAGTTATTACTTTGTTTTAATCCATGTCTGGAGATATTCAACTATATGTTCTGTGGTGATGTTGCGGGACAGTGGTGTGGGAGAGGGGCTGTCAGTGACTCACACATTTCAGGCTATTTAAATGTGAAAATATTCGAGATAGTTAGGAATCCTCTCAATCAGCAGATATACCAGATATATATAAGTGTGTCATTTTTCTAAACTGAAGGTTACTTTGTGTTTCTCAAGATACTAAGGAAATGAAGAAACTAGGAGTTTTATTTAAGAATATTTTACTGGTACAGTAAACTTTTTCAAATGGCAAGAAAGTAATCTTCCAAAGTGAGTGTATTTCTATAGCTGTAAGAACTCAAGTAATAATACATTTATTTTAAAATGGAAAATCCTAATTACTCTAAATGGCACTTGGTTTCAATTTGCTTCTTGCGGTTAATATAAGTTAAATGGTTTTTTAACCATTTAACATCTGTAGCAATGGAAACACACCTGGCTTTACTTCGGTATATCAAGATGAGAACACAGATGAGGATGCAGGTCAAGGCTATGCCAACACCTACAGCGATGCCAGTCATTGATTTTTGGTCCAGGTGGTAATATCCTGAATAAACTAGAAGGGGAAACACATTTACTCAGAATGAATAAAAATATGCATGATTCCATTTATAATTTTCTGACAGATAATTGCTTTTCTATACTTTTCTTCCTCTCATAGGAAAACTTTTGACACTGTGTCTAAGCAGAAAAGACACATTACACTTTTATCAGTGATCTCAGAAAGATCAGTTTATCTTCCCATAGTAAAGATTCTAAATATGAGTCCTAGATACTGTACTATACTATTATAAAAAGATGAACATTGGTTTATAACTTACAACACTAAAAGGCACAAGGCATAGTTGTTCCCTGATGGACCAAAGGACAGCTTTCATGTCATGTTACCTGAGAGCAGAGCTGTATTAGTTTTCCACTGAACGTACTGGCAGTTACTTAGCAGTGCTTCTAAACTCTATTGTACATGCGGCTTTACTAGAGGGTATGTTAAAATGCAGATTCTGATTCACTAGCTCTGCAGTGGTAGCCATGATTCTGTGTATTTTATAAGCTCTTGGGTGACACTCCCACTGCTGGTCCCTATACACTTTGAGTAGCAAGGTCTTTGAGGTGTGATACAAGCCTTGCTCTCTCTTTCCACTGATGATAGGGCAGCTACTATGGCTGCTCGCTTCCTGTGTTTAAATCCAACTGCCCTGTCCTTTTCTTTTTACTTTCTCTCCTTCCCTGGGTGGCTGTTTCTTTATCACTCATATTCTCTCCCCCTCTCTCTCTCACTTACACACACACACACACACACACACACACACACACACACGCCCACTCCCCCAGAGGGGAGGAAAGGGAGGTGTCTACCCCTGCACCACAGCGGGCTTGGTTTCCCTCCAAACAGGACAGTTGATAGGGAGTGAAGGTGTCTCTTTAAACATATTTTCCCCCAATTACTTTTCTTGAGAGAAACATTCTTTCTGGAAAGGCTGTTTTTCTGTGGTGAAAACTCTTCATGAAAACATGCTCTTCTGAGCTTGAACACCACAGCCACTACTGCTGTTTATTTTCATGAAACCTCCCAGGAAGCCTACTCCCATAGTTCCAGGCGGTGTCTCGGTGGTTGAACAGCTGGGAAGAAAAATAACTGGGACACAGTGGTCTGAAGACTAGAGTTAATTTTGAGGTAGGTTTGTCTTCTAGGAGTGCAGAGAAGAGCCGAGCAGCTCCACAGCATCAAAGCTTCACTGACAACAAGTCAAAAAACTGAGTGCAGGTTTTAGGATATGGCCATTGTAGGAGTGGACATAAAGTGAAGGGAGCTGAAAAATATGCCTGCACTTTCTTTCCTTAAGAAAAATCAGTGATCGTAACAGTATACAGACCTTTGCTATCTGCAGAATCTAAACGCTTGGGCCTCTGATTTGATTCAGAACTTTCCTTTGGAAGCACTGCTAGCTCTACAGAATTCGAAAAGGGTCCTTCCCCCACTTCATTGGATGCAGATATCTTGACAATGTAGACATTTCCTGCCACCAGGTTTTCCAACAAAGCCATGGTGATTGCCCCTATTAAAAAAGTATATCAATGACAAATTAAGTAAATGTTATCTTTTACTCATTCTTTCAATCACACAATCATAGTGCTTTATTTTTAAAAATATTTTTCTGATTATAAAAGTAACACATTCATTTAGAACATTTTGGAAAAGTAAAGCTAAACATAAATACAATGACAATTTTCCATTGTTAATATTTGGTTTATCTGTATGCGAGTGTACACCACTCACGTGTGAGTACATATTTACTACATGCATGTTTCTATCCTAGAGTTTTCACAGTTCCCCTACATAGCTCTCTGTAATTTTATCTTAGGAGTAGTTTTTAAGAACAGCATGTCTTTTTGTTTTGTTATATACAAGGTCTGTCCAGAAAGTATCCATCCATGTAATATGAAAAATAGACGCATTTATTGAGGACAATGTAAGACACAAGATAGTACATAAGACACTGATGCCTCAGTCCCCTTCCAAGTAGGCACCTTGGGACCTCACATAATTCTTCCCAGTTGCCATCAGCTGCCCCATCATATTTTCCTGAATCTTATTGATTCTGACATCTCTTTTCTTTCAAAGATGATTTTAGTTTTGGGAAAAGCCAGAAGTCACAGGACACCAAATATGGGCTATAGTGGGGCTGAGTTACCTGGGTGATTTGATGTTTTGCCAAAATACTAAGCACAAGACGTGATACATGAGTGAGCACATTGTCATAATGAAGCTGCCAATCACCAGGTGCCCATAGCTGCAGCTTTCTGAATCATCCAAATAGTTCCCACAGAGGAATGTTCAACCTTAACGCAAAATCTGATGCAGATTTGCTGCTCTACTCAGTCATTTTGAATGTGATGGCTACACTGTACACATGTTCACTCAACGGTTTCTACCACCCCACTGACTAGTAGAATGAAGTTATCATTGTTCACACATGTGCATTCCAGTCCACTTTCTTTGGATGCCAGGTTGCAGCAATGCTGTACAAACCATTCTCACTATATTAACAATAACTGGACTTTTTCTGGACAGACCCTGTGTGTGTGTGTGTGTGTGTGTGTGTGTGTGTACATCTTTAAAATATATATAAATAAAATATGTATTTATAAAAATTTTTATATATTCATATGCATATAATGTCTTACTCTTTACATAGGTGTGGATACAACCAGCATTAAAAACATTTTACTATGAAATAGTTCAAACATAGGTAGAGAGAGAATGGTATAATGAATCTGGATTCAACAATCATAATTAGATTTTAAAAATCCAGTGTAAGAGTCTTTCTCTTCTTTTGGAAACGTTTTAACTAATTATGGAAATAGCTGTAATAGATGATCTTGACTTTCTTAAATTAGAAACAACACAATTAGGTTTTTTAAAATTTATTTTTATTTTTTTTAAAGATTTTATTTATTTTTAGAGAGAGGGGAAGGGAGGGAGAAAGAGGCAGAGAAACATCTGTGTGTGGTTGCCTCTCACATGGCCCCCACTGGGCACCTGGCCCACAACCCAGGCATGTGCCCTGATTGGGAATTGAACCTTTCGGTTTGCAGGCCAGTGCTCAATCCATTGAGCCACACCAGCCAGGGCATAAAATTAGTTTTGAAAGTATGAAAATATTTTTCATACTTCCTAATCATCATCTAAGATATCTTAAATGTAAACAAAAGGCCAAAAGTTATGTAGAAACCTCAGAGTGCTGAAGACTTAGACCTCAGATTAACTATCAAAATTACCACCACCAATCTGCCTAGCATCTACTTCTCTCCAAAGGTAATTGTCATTTGAATTTATATATGACACTTAGTATCAAAAGATACTTTCTGTTGACATGACTGCTAAGAAGGATTTCTATTTAGGCACTGCTATTTCTTGAGGAGTCTTTATGCTCTTGTTCTGTCACTGTACTGAAGTATTTTTCTTACAAAAGGGTCTCTCACTCTAGGAATTAATTCTTATGTTAAGAAAGCAGGTGTAATAGAAATTCAACCAGCAAGTGCTTCTATGACTGCATTTGTGTGTGGGTATTCACAGGAAACTTAGCTTTCCTATGGTGATTTCATCTTTCTCCTGACTCAGAGCATCTTTACAATAGCTTTAAAGAGTTTACAGTAACTTGCAGCAGTCACTTCTAGGCTAGAGCTGTCTATTCTGATGCACTTGCAAGAGTGTATTTCATTACGCAAGTGAAATGCAGCGTGATCTTAGAGCTGAGGACATGATTCAGAGGCCACCTCTGAGGATCACATGGTGTGAGGCAGCTGAACCAAGTGGCAATGTGAGGAGCCAAAAACAGCTTGTTTTCATATTCTATGGTTTCAACTTGGCCTGAGGAGAGTGTGAGCTATTTGAGCATACAACTGTTAAATAAACAAACTGACCCGTATTTAGAATCAAGAAAAGCCTTTCCATTCTTACTGTGTTCTTGGGCAGTTGAAATAAAAAACAAAGATGTATTGTGACATGTTACCATTAACTAGGAGAAGAACATTTCAATAAATAAATTGAGCTTCCATTTTATCTTAGAATACTTTACATTTAATTTTTGAAAGTGCTAGGCAAACTAATCACTACCTGAAAGTAAAAGTCTTTTCATTTAATTTAAATTTTATAAGTGGATGAGCTCAGGGTGTTTGTGTACACGCATGCTCCCCTTCCTTAGACAAAGAAAGGACACTGTTAAGATTCTGGTTTCCCTATGAGCACACTCAAAGCAGTTCCCAAATATTAAAGTGAACTGACTGTCCCTGTATTTTCTCAGCAGAATGTCTCAATCTTGGTATGATTATTTCAGTGTACTGCCTTTTATGCGCGTCTGAATCTTCAGCTAGACTAGGGGCTTCACAAACCAGACAGTGTAATAGGCTCAGTGTTGTATCAATGTTGATTAAATGCTGGCACACTACCAACTAAGTAATTTGTGACTTGGGGCACGTTACTGAACTTTACTTTCCTCATGGGGGCAGTAATTCCCACCTCATGTAATTATTATAAAGACTAAACAAGCTACCACTGCCAAGTGCCTGACAGAAGTGTATATATTCAATGAAAGTAAGTCTGTCTTACCTCTGACCTCCCCTCCTCTCCCCTTTCTAGAAGACAGAAAATTTCTTTCATATTTGAACAGTGTAATATGAATGAACAGCTAGCATAATGCCTTGTGCAAGATAATTCTCAGTAAATGCTAACTGAACTTATATTAAAATAGAAGCTATTTGCTACCAAAGTAGTGTTCATTTAAAATGTAAAAACAAAGGGTAAGAAGCATTCACTACAGAATGAAGTCTCAGACCTTTCTATCTTTCATCCATGTTCTCTAACTGATTTTTTCAGTTCTACAGTCTTTTTTCTTTTTAAAAATTTTGTTTTCAATTACAGTTTACATTCAATACTATTTGTATTACTTTCAGGAGTACAGTACCATTCCACAGTCTTAAATTCATCTACAGGGATGACTTCTGTTATACCACTACTCCCATTAACTTAATCCTCCTCCTTGTTCAACCTCTTTACTGAGACATCTAAAAGGCATCTCAAATTTAACATTCGAAACCAAACCTTTGATTTTCCCCATTAATTCTTTTTTTTTACACATCAATCTGCAGAAAATCTAGTTAGCTGTTCTTTCAAATTATGTTTTAATCATTTCCCATTACCTTCCCCATTATCACCCCTGTTCAAACCCCCCACTAATTCTCACATAGACACTCAGTAGTATTAAATAGTTTCTAACTTCTACTCTTACCTTCTTATAATAAATTTTTCAAGCGGTTGCGAAGAGTAATCCTTTTAAATTGTAAATCTGATCAACAGTCTCCAATGTCTTCCTTCACTCTTTGAATAAAATCAGTGGTCCTCAGATTCTGCCCTGTAAGACCTGCCCTTGGTTACCACGATTGCCACCCTTGTCCAAACCCCCTTCATTTCCCACTGTCTGCTCTTCCCTCCACTCTAGCTGTCCTTGCCTTCTTGTTGTTCCTACAACATGCCAAACACACTTATGTTTCAGAGCCTTTGCACTTCTCCCAGATATCCTCATGGCTCTGCCCTGATGTCATTTCTTCCAAAAGAACTTAGCTTACTATCTCCATCACTTTGTCTTTTCCTCTTACTGTAGTTTTCTTTATAGCACTTATGACACTATCTGAATATTTTTATACGTGTTTGTGTGTTTCCTGAGATGTAAGCTCCAATGGGGTAGGAACACTGTTTTATTCACTGTGGTATTGCCAATGTCTAGAAAAGAGCCTATCACATACTAATCATTCAATAAGAATTCATTTGCTCAATCAATCATGTTCCCACTTTTTGGTAGTTTAATTTATTTGGCAAATGATGAGTTGAATGGATTTCCTCAGTAAAGGACTTTAATTTCCAATGTGAATCTCTAACAGGAGGGATAGTAACATTGTTTCTCTAATTTATGTAATCATGGAACTTTTTTTTAAAAGAGGGGTATGTATCTTTAGCATCTTGGGAAACTCATGCTATGAGGAACAGAGTTCAGGAACTGCTGTAGTACAGCATCATTTCCTATAGTGTGTTTTAGATTTTAAAATAATTGAGTGGTTTAGGCTGATTTACTGTATTATCAGCAAGTGTAAAGGCTCTAATTTCTGATCCTTTAAATTACACACAAGCATACTTGCACATCACATTTCTGCTCAACCATTTTAGCATGTACAATTTTAGCCATGAATATCATATGGTCACCAGGAACATTTTAAAAATGTTTTAACTAACGAAAAAAACTTATTTCACTTGGTAATAAATACATGAATTTATTATATATAAACATATATAAACACAGTATGTAAAGAAGATTAATAGATACATAGGGGAGAAATATTAGTATTCTTCCTCTTTTCCCCTCCATCTTTTCCTATACCTTTACCAAAACAAAATACTGTCTTTTTAGGCAGGTACAAATGAGGAGCTAAAGAAGTATGTGCTCATGTGATTATAATTCTTTTTATTTTATTTACTAAAGATTTAAAAAAAATTATTTACTATTTTTTAGATTGAGGGGGAGGGAAAGAGAGGGAGAAAAACATCAATGTGCAAGAGAAACATCTACTGGCTGCCTTTTGCACACCCCCAACTGGGGACCTGGCCCACAACCCAAGCACGTGCCCTGACTGGGAATCAAACTAGTGATTTTTAGGCTCTTAATCCACTGAGCTTCACCAGCCAGGATTGATTGGAATTCTTTATTAATATTTATAAAATACCACACTAAATCAGGTTAGTCACTTGGTCAAATGTATTATGGATAAACCGTTTTAGAAATAAGAATATTATGGTAGGTTGTAAAATCAGTAGCACCAAATAAATTCTACATCCACTATCTCCACCTGTGGACAGTCCTCTGCCACACTAACTGTGGACTTGCCTACGTGATTTGCTTTGCCCAGTGGACATTAGCGAATGTGATGCGAGCAGAGGCTTGCAAAAGCTTTGTACATGCAGATTCCTCTCTCTTGTCCTTAGAACTCTCTCTTGCTGTTTTTAAGCTACCCACACTCTTTTGAAATTGTGAGATAATTTACAGCCTCATGAGTGACATGAGTAGAGAGCAAAAGACCTGCCCAGCTGATCCCAGTCCAAACTGCTGACTCACTGAACTGTGAGAAGGTAGAGTGGTTTTTCAGCATAGTTTGTTAGGTAGCAACAGATAATTGATACAAATATAAAACTGTATTGCTGGCAAGTACTTGTTACTTTCATGTCTCTTCAGTGACTAAGAAATCACTCCTTAGTGGGGCTTCTGCTTAATGAAAAATATTATAAATATACAACTATGAAAACTCCACCTAAAGTTACCATTTGTTGATTTTTACAATTGTATAGAGTTTATTACACCCACATAGTGCCTTTAAGTTTATTCTCTTAATTAGATAAATATTCCCCTTAAAAGGTTAAATGTACGTGGAGTGTCTAGTACTATAAAATGTTTAGAATATGTAGATGGCCAACAGATTTTCTTTTTGAAATCCTTCTTAAGCTTTTAATTGTTTGGCAAACTGTTCTTTTCTCGGTATGTGTATCTGAATGAAGAAAGTGCCAAAATAATGAAGTTTTACAATTTATGTGATGACTCATCTAAAAACTGGCATGTAGGACTTACTCATATGAAAGATTAAAACAATTGAAAAGGATATAATGATAAGAGTATACAGTAAGAATATTAAAAATTTTTGAATTCAGTTTTGCTCAGCTTAAAAAATTGTGTTAAAAAATTAAATTTAGTGTTTGTAAGCCCTAATAAGCCTTTCCCTGTACTAAGAGGTCAATTAATTTGCAAGTGGACCATTTAAGTAGCTGTACAAAAGTCTTCTCCTGTAAGCCAGGTCCTCTTCCAGTGTTTGCTTCTCCAGCACAAGCACACAACCACCAGAATCTCGTAATCACCTATCACAATCTTCCTTCCCTAACATCTACCTCCCTCCTTATGCTATCAAGTCATTCAACCATCCTCTCCTTTCCATTTCAAGCCTTTAATCCAGGTTTATTATCTCTTTCCTGGACCATCACAATTGCTTTCCAGTCTCTGCATGACTCTTGCCACCCACTCCTCCTCAACCAAACCTCTTCTATTCACAACAGTCAGAATGATCGCTCTGAAATGCAAATCATATGCTCCTTCTTCAAGTATGTCAATGGCTTTCCATTGCTCTCTGAATAAAACCAAAATCCTTAATAACTTTTAACTTCATAAATATAAATTCAAAACAAAGTCTAGATCCCTCTTTCCCTTTGTTTCCTTATCACTAATAATCTTACTTTTCCTTCTCTTTGGTAATTTACGATCATATTTACCTTCTCGGTGTAGGACCTGCCACTCTCCTGCAATCCAGGCCTTCCTTGATGCGTATAAGATAGTATAGCGTGTCACAACTGTCTCTGGGCCATCAGGGGGTTTCCAAGAGACCAGAGCAGTATCATCTTCTATCAGTGTCACTTTTACTCCAACTGGTGGTCCTGCTGGTGCTGTGCACACATGCAGAGGGAGATGGTATTAACAGGATAAATGGCCCTACACATGCCAATACCAGGCTAATAGAGTGACAGGCAGAGAAAAGAGTTTGAAAAACTAGGAACCACTAATAAACACATCCAAAAAATCACAGCTTTTACCAATTAATAGTGATAACAGTAAAATACTACTTTTCTTCTTTTTCTGAAAGCTGATTTCATTTTTATAATGTTCAGAACATTTTAAAAATATTAAGGAGATAGCAGATTTCTAGATGTGGAATTACTAAGTCAGAGGTTGAAAGCATTTTTAGGTCTCTTGACATGGTTTTGTCAAACTGATCCCTCAATAGGCCTATAATCATACCAGTAGCACCTGCTCATTAGATATTAAGTCTTTTCCATTGAGAGTATTGGATCTAAACTACATTTCTTACTAAAATGTATAGAATATAGCTTCAAACTGATCTAGAAAGCCACTGAAGAAATACTTCTGAGATGAGAAACATTAAGTTATTCTCCAAAAAAGTTGCAGATCAGTGAGTTTAAAGGGCAGGCTTTACACTAATAATTTACATCTTTGAAAAGTATTGAAGTCTTGGGATTTTAACTGATCCCATTTTTAATGTGAGCTAAAAGTGTGAAGAGCTGGTTTTGGGCATCATATAGCATATGGGATATTGTTAAAACCATAGCAAGAAAGCGCTTGCTCACTAAAATAAACGTCCTTTGCTTTCTTTCAGCATAATTAAAACAGAAGTCCTCATATATCATCTAATCCTTCATCCTCACTCTAGAGAAAAGGAAAGGCAAGTTTTGGAGACAAAATACCTTAGCTAGAGTCACAAGTAAGCTATACAACTGGTGCTCAGTTAGGTAGCATATCTATGCACAGCACACAGCATCAAGCTACCATACATATAGACAGAGGTTCTAATGTGGGCTCCTAACACACCCATTATTCACTTATTTACATTTAAAATGATTTCAGTGCAGCCTTGAATAGCACACATGATTTTCGCTCATTTGCTTGTGTAATATGTACACTGAGAGGGGAAAAATAAATTTAATAAAGGAAAAGAAATCTCAAGTGTTAAGCAAAACAAATCAACAAAACCAACACAACAACATCATATCAACTGGTAATTGATGTGATGTTTTGTAAAAAACAAAGCAACACATCAACTAGTAGTGGCAACCAAGGTAGTATCCCTTTCAAAATGACGTGTACAGTTTTTACACATTTAGATAAAACCCAAAAGGCAGCTGCCTTCTTTACCTTCTGGAAGTGTAGAATGGTAGACGACTGGACTCCAGGGACTTGAAAGCTGATCCACATGCAATCGAACAGCAAATTCATATTTGGTGTTTGGTTCTAGACCTTGAACCAACATATGGGTTTCTGATCTACAATGATGAGCAATGAAGCTTTAATGCTGTGAGCACACTGTTTCTCAAAGATTGTCAATATGTCCAATAAATACAGGTAGGGAGGGCACATTAAAATTATTTTACACTAAAAGAGCAATCTAATTTGACTATTATATACTACATTTGGTATTATAAAAATATGCCTACAAATGTCCTAATACAAAGAAATTTCCTCTGAAATGTTGGAAGTCGAATTATGCTTTTAAATCATAGTGATAGCCATCTTTTTATCCATAACCTAGAAAACAGAATAAACAGCTTTATTTTTTGATGCCAGAATGAAAATTATCTTTTGTTTCTTTATTAAACATGCTTCTCTTTAGCCACATGAAAGTCAAAGTAGCTTCTTGCCCAATTTTGTTGCATGAGGCAGGGGAAACAAAAAAAAAATCATTTACAAAAATTAAATGTCAAAAACATTTTCAGAACTGAAAATGTAAAGATGAAAGAAAAACCCAGACATTTTATAAGCAAGATAAGTCCTAAGACAAATGCTTACAGCTGAAGCTCAAGCTAGCCCAAGATGGGAAGATGTATGAATGGGGAAGGGAGCAAAGGAAACAACCATTAATAGAAGCTACATACGTTTGAATATACAGAACCAAAGAAGCATTCTGCAGACCGACAGGGTTACAGCGAATGGTGTAGTTAATTATTTGTGCAGTCGTGAATGCAGGCCTCCTCCAGTGCAGGAAGATGGAAGATGAGGTGTTAGCCTTCGCATAGAGATGGTGGGGTGGTGGTGGAGGAGGAACCATGCGATCACGAACAGCTATTGGAAAAGACAAGGTCGATTTACTGCACAGCATAGCATTTATTGTAAAAAGTGATAAGTGGTAAAATCATTAACACCCCACCCGGTAAGCTGACTTTAGGTCAGTCTTTCTTCCTTGAGAGGCTTGTAGTAGTCTAGAGATATATTATTCAAACCTGAGCAATTCTTCCATGAGTTAGAATATAGGGAATAAAATACTATCGATACAGATTATAAGGCAGAAGCATAGAGAAGTCAAGCTACCAGCCAAAGGCTTTCAGAAAGCCAGCAGTGGGATTAAAACAGACTGACACCCACTTTAGTAACAATAAAATCATACAGCTCTTAGTAGCAATAAAATTGAACAGCAACTGGAAGGAAATAATTAGCCTCAAGCTTAGAGCAGATGAAAGAAAACTCAGTATATGTAGGTATTCAGCGTTATTTTCCAAGTTAAATTTCTTTTGGTCTTTTGCAGACAAAAGAAAAATAGATTCTTGTAATTAAATACATCTCACCTAAATATTTACCGAGCATGCATTTGTTCAAGCTACTATCTTAGGTACCCTGGAGAATATACAGTAATCAATGAGGATTCCAAGCAGTAGTGAGACTTAGATGTTGAGGAAGAGCAGCAACAGGAGTGTGAGCCATACATAGTGAAAAGAGCTACCATAACTCTACTTACACACGCATCCTGGGGTGCTGACTGTCTGATCTGCCTGGTAACCATCCTCTATGTTATTGTAAGCCAGCAGCCGCACATGGTATTTTCTTCTGGGGTCTAAAAAGAAACCAATAGGTAATAATTAGACCCAGACATCTAGACACAAAGGTTCTAGAACATTTCTAGATTTGGGGTTTAAAATCTTCTGAATAAATACCAGATCTAAGTAAAATAAAAATTTCTCTCTCCCTGTCCTACACAATGACTAAGCAATTCACCTTAGTATGACATTGCTATTGTGACTATCTACCAATTATTTAAAATCTCACATTTAACCTCACTTCAAACAATAACATTACTATAACTGCTCTTCATCCTCCTCAACTGAGCAGAGATAGATTCTTGCTTTTAAAAGACTTGGGTTGACTTCTGGCCAAGATGGAGGCATAGGTAGACACATTGTGCCTTCTTGCACAACCAAAATAAGGACAACAAAAATTTAGAAACAAACAAACAAAAAAACCCAGAACTGACAGAAAATTGAACTGTATGGAAGCCCAACAACTAAGGAGTTAAAATAGACACATTTATCCAGACCGGTAGGAGGGGTGGAGTCGGGCCCAGTGGAGAGGGGTCTCAGCAAAAAAGCACGGTGGCTTGCAGGCCCTGGGTGTGCAAGGCAGCAGCTGATGGACCCGGGCACACAAGATGGCAGTGGGCGGACCCAGCGAGGCTGACTGATTGGGCGGTCACACATTCAAGCAGATAAAGCAGGTGAAACTGAGGAGCAAGACAAATTGGGCAACCCAAGGCTCCAGCTCGAGGAAATAAAGCCTCAAAACACTGATTGAAAACACCTCTGGGGGTTGAGGTGCCAGGAGAGACTCCCAGACTCATAGGAGAGTTTGTTGGAGAGACCCACAGGGTCCTAGAACATACAGAAGCCCACCCACATAGAAAGTACCACCAGAAGGGCCCAGTTTGCTTGGGAGAAGCTGGAGAAGTGACTGAAATCCAGCAGAGAGAAGAGCAAGCACCATTGTTCCCTCTCTGACCCCTCTCCCACATACAGAGTCACAACCCAGTGACTAGCTTGCCCTGCCCTGGTGAACACCTAAGGCTCCACCGCTCATATATAACCGATGCGACAAGACAAAAAAAAATGGCCCAAATGGAAGAACAGATCAAAGCTCCACAGCAAATACAACTAAGCAAGCAAGAGATAGCCAAGCTATCAGATGTACAGTTCAAAGCACTGGTGATCAGGATGCTCATAGAATTGGTTGGTCACAAATTAGATGAAAAAATGAAGGCTACGCTAAGGGAAATAAATGAACATGTACAGGGAGCCAATAGTGATGGGAAGGAAACTGGGACTGGAATCAATGGAATGGACCAGAAGGAAGAAAGAAACAACCAAACAAAAAAGAATGAAGAAATAAGAATTCAAGAAAAATGAGGAGAGCCTCAGGAACCTCCTGGACATCTTTAAACCTTCCAATATCCAAATCATAGGGGTACCAGAAGGGGAAGAGGAAGAGCAACAAGTGGAAAAGTTATCTGAGCAAATAATAAAGGAGAACTTCTCCAATCTGGCAAAGGAAATAGACTTCCAGGAAGTCCAGGAAGCTCAGAGAATCCCAAAGAAGTTGGACCCAAGGAGGAACACACCAGGGCACATCATAATTACATTACCCAAGATTAAAATTAAGGAGAGAATTCTAGAAGTAGCAAGAGATAAGGAGACAGTCACCTACAAAGGAGTTCCCATCAGACTGTCAGCTGATTTCTCAAAAGAGACCTTACACGCAAGAGGGGCTGGAAAGAAGTATTCCAAGTCATGAAAGGCAAGGACCTACAGCCCAGATTGCTCTATCCAGCAAAGCTTTCATTTAGAATGGAAGGGCAGATAAAGCACTTCTCAGATAAGATCAAGTTAAAGGAGTTCATCATCACCAAGCCCTTATTTTATGAAATGTTAAAGGGACTTATCTAAGAAAAAGATGATAAACAACATGTATAGTAAAATGACAGCAAACTCACAATTATTAACAACCACACCTAAAACAAACCAAAAACAAAGTAAGCAAACTACAACAGGAACAGAATGACAGAAAAGGAGATCACATGGAGGATTAGCAACAGGGGAGTGGGAGGAGGAGGTAGAAGGTACAGAGAATAAGTAGCATAGATGGTAGGTAGAAAATAGACAGGGGGAGGGTAAGAATAGTATGGGAAATGTAGACACTAAAGAACTTATGACACATGGACATGAACTAAAGAGGGGGAATGTGGGTGGGAGAGGGTATGTAGGGTGGAGGGGAGTGAAGGGGGGGAAATGGGACAACTGTGATAGCATAATCAATAAAATATATTTTAAAAAATAAAAGACTTGGGTTTATGTGATGAATCATTTCTAAAAATTTACACCATGTAGTTGTTTAGTTACTTGAGAGTAGTTTATTAAAAGTATGAAAATATAAGTCAGATGTTTTTCCCCTCAAAGTTAAGGAGAATTACAGCTGTCATCTTTTAGTACTGTACATTTGAAAATCTTTAGAAATGTGTTATTTATTTCTAAGTACGTCCTTTCCCTAAACCTGTATTTTCAAGTTGAGAGCCAAATTCTACAAGAAAGATAAGCTGGAGCTCCCTCTACTGGTATTCATTAACTAGCACAATCTGAAAAGTAAAGTCCATCCCTCAGGTATAAAACAAAAGAAACAATTTCTGGCATTTGAGAAAATAAATGATTATAAGATTTAAATGATATACTTTAGTAAATATACAGGAAGTTTAATGATACCAGTAAATTTAAGTGTAACCATTTATGATAACTATAGAGTGCTTGCTTAGGGCAAAAAATAAATACTATTCAGAAATAATGTATTTCTTTTTTCCCCAGCTTTACTGACATATAGTTGGTAAATAAGAGCTGATTTTTAATGTGTACAACTTGATGTCTGATATACATATATATTTTGAAACAATCACTACAATCAAGCTAGTTAACATATCTGTCATCTAATATAGTCACCATTTTTTGTGTGTATGTATGGTAGAAATGCTGAAGATCTACACTCTCAGCAAATTTCAAGTATACGATATAATATTTATAATTATAGTCCCTATACTATACATCAGATCTCCAAAACTTATTCCTGCATAGCTGAAACTTTGTACCCTTTGACCTCCTCATCCCATTTCCCCCACCTTCTAACCCCTGGCACCCATTCTTCTATTTTGTTTCTCTAAGTTCAACTATATTAGATCCCATATGTAAGTGAGATCATACAGTAATTATCTTTCTGTGTTGGGATTATTTTATTTAGCATAATGTCCTCTAGGTTCATTAATGCTATGCAAAAGGCAAGGTTTCATTCTTTTTAAGGTTTAATAATAATCCTGTGTGTGTGTGTGTGTGTGTGTGTGTGTGTTTGCCACATTTTCTTTATCCATTCACCAGTCGACAGATATTTAGGTTGTTCCCCTATCTCATCTATTGTGAATAATGCTGCAATGAACATAGGGTGCATATGTCGCTTCAAGATACTGGTTTCATGCCTTTCAATACACACACAGAAGTAGAAAAACAATAATCTTTAATAGATACAATCACATCTAAATTTATTAAACTCTCCAAAGTAATTTAAGAGTTTGAATAAATATTTTAGAAACTGATTAATATTAAAGTCCATTTAAACATTTCCTAAAATATTAAAATTTTATTTATATTTGCTCTGATAAAATTAAAGAAATAAAAATTTATACAACTTAGAAAATTTCTGTAGTTTCTAGATAAAAAATAGGAAGACTAATAACTTCTATCTTATAGAAAATTTCTTTTCAGGTTTATTTTCTTGAGTATCATAAAACTCTGTAAGAGTTATTTTGTTATTGATGTTATTCTTATTTTTTAAAAACTATGGTAAAAGGTATTAAGTAGCATGTCTAATGTCATACAAAGCTGAACCAGGAACTTGAGGTATGATAGCACAGAGCCTTTAAATTGACACAAACACATGGCCCTTGTCACAGGAAGTTTGTCTCTTTATGAATTTTAAAATAGAAATATATTAAAATATTTTATAAAATAATTACCAGAGCCCTGGCTGATGTGGTTTAGTGGATTGAGTGCAGGCATGCGAACCAAAGGGTTGCTGGTTCAATTCCCAGTCAGGGCACATGCCTGGGTTGTGGGCCAGGTCCCCAGCAGGGAATGCATGAGGAGCAACCACACATTGATGTTTTGCTCCCTCTCATTCTCCCTCCCTTCCTCTCTCCCTCTAAAAATAAATAAATAAAATTTAAAAAATAATTACCAGACAACATAGAAACATATTTGGATTTCATCACTCGAATGATTTCCAACATTCAGCACTGACATTCTAAGATTCAAAAGGTTATGGTTCAGATTAAAGGCTACTTATTTGAGTTTGTTTTATTATTTCTTTCCTCCTACCATACTGCTGATCACATTAATCAACTGAATCCTGAGTTCAATATTACAATTACTCCTTCTGAGTGGGTACAAGTAGAATTCAACAGGCTCTTTGCAATCTAGTTCTTTATAAATTCACAGTGTCGTCTTCAAAAATCATTCTTCATTCTGTCTGTGCTCAGTTAGAAGGGTATCTTTAAGAAAGCTTCCCAAATGTGAGGTATTATGTCAGAAATGCAGAAGACACAGAAAAGGAAGGATGAGACAGAATTTTTCCATAGTAGCTCCCAATCTCAGGGAGCCAGACACAGATACAGCCATCTCTCATGGAAAGCTGATTTTTGAAGAGGGTCGGGAGGACAGGTAGAGAGATTAATCCTTATTCTACTGTGCAAACAACTGATTGACACTTCATGAATGTGTCTCTGGAATGCTTTATTTATTTTTTAATTTTCATGATAGACATTTGTTTCTCACAGCTCTGAAGGCTGAGAAGTCTAAGATCAAGGTGCCCACAGATTTGGTTTCTGGCAAGGGCCCTCTTCTTGGCTTGCAGATAGCTACCTTCTTGCTGTATCCTCACATGGCAGAGAGTAGAATCCTTTTTTTCCCCACCCTAAAAATTATTCTTCAAGTTTTCCCTTTTTCCTCTTTAAAAAAATGAATGGCTTACACT